CGAGGAACACCTCGCAATCTCAAGTCTCTCCTTTGTGCGGCGAGGGGTGATGCAGAAGCAGACAACAGTCAAGTCACGAGTGTAGAGTTATTGTGAGGACCGATCTCACCGCGCAAGCTGAAGACTTTTTCCCGCCGACTCCATCGCGACTCTTCTGAAATTCGTTTCTCGAAAAAGATGCTCCTTCAGATTTGGCAAGAAGTAGAGGTGCGCCATTGTGCCTGTCACCTTCTCCGGCGAGTCGTCGTGGGGTCAGCAGGAAACAGCATGGTAGGCACGCTGCTGGTCTATCTGCCGGATCAAGTACGAGCTCTGCTGCGTCTGACTATGCTGCGCTGACGGGGTGCATGCCGAAGGGCTGTGCAGCGTTCTCTTGCCTTGGTGAGCGAACCGGCAGGCGGTGCCTATGATCGGATAGAGCGCTGGGTAGCGGAATGATACATATTCTTGATTCGATCGGCGAGGATTCCCATCTGTTGTTTGTTGTTGAAATGATACAACGGTGCGGATCGCTCTCATTCCTCTGATCGGCACGACATCGTAAGGCTTGCGCATATCATTCTCCGCGCTCATCAGCACTCGCTGCTTTGGAACACGAGATTGCTGGCCGGTGCCTGTGCTTCAACGGCTTCATTTCAAACTCCGCTAGCTGCGCATCCATCTCGCCCTGCTACTCCCTTGCTCAGCCCATCACCTTCTCCGACGTATATATAGCAAGGGTCCGAGCTGAGTACTCTTCGTCAAGCAAGTCCTTCCTCTCGTCGCTCTTGGCATTCCGACGATCGTTTCAGTATTTGCAGCCAATCATGTCGGCACACGAAAAGGTGCCGCTGCTCGACCAGCATCAACACGACGATGTCGTCCTCACATTTAGCGAGAAGGGCATCGATGCTACTGGTTTCGGCGCTCGGCAGTCTCAGGCACACGACTGTGTTGAACCTCAGCGCCGCAAGCGAAAGTTTGGCATGTTGACTCTGCAACTGGTGTGCGCTCTGCTGATCGGGTCCACGCTCCTGGGTCTGCATTTCCGAGGTAGTCCTTCTGCTCCTCACACACTCAACGGACCAGGTCATCATGGTCATGGTCACAGGCACAGTCATCAGACGCATCACCAACAAAATTGGTGGTCCAAGCTCGTGTCAAAGAAGAAGCACTTGCAGCCTTGTGGACTTCGATGGTCTACTATTCCTCATTCACATGCCAGACCACCACCAACTCCTCCTCCGCCTGTTCCAGCTGTATGCTACAACATTCCTAACACCTCTTCAGCTTCTGTGAACTTCACCGTCGTCCTGCCTCACGAACACGGTCCTCATGGTCCACCATCGCCACCTGGCAGTCCTGCACCTCCGCCTCGCGAGCAAAAGCATGAGCAGAAGACCATCTCGCAGACCGAGAGGAAGGAAGCTTCCGCATTTCCCGGTCCTCCGTTTCAGCATCATCCTCACCATCCTCACGGTCCGCCGCCAGCCCTCTGGCTGCACCCCTCCTTAAGCGCTTCGGCAGTCAGCATCCACCGAGATTTACCAGCGCCCCATGTGCCCAAAACAGAGCACAAGCCAACACTCAATTCGACCAGACCTCACGGCCCTCCTCCCCCCGTCCGCGTCCTGGTCGAAATCTCTCACGATGAACAAGTGTCTCTAGACGAAGGAGTGCAGGAGACGCGTAAAGGTCCTCTGCAAGCTTGCACCCTCGTGGCGCCTTTCACAAACGCAGTCGGTGTAGCCATCTTTGTGAGTAAAAGCAGGCTCGGCTGCACGTCAGACCGATTGCCTGCCCTGTGAAAGCTGATCGTCACCCCTATTCAATTCTCGTCATTCACAATTCCCGCAGCCTGCTGGCCCTCCTCCTTTGCCACCGTCAAAGGACGCAGAGACGCCTCCACAACACGTCAGACCTCTCTTCCCATCCATCAAGGTGGACCTGCACTTGCAGCCTCGCGTACCTTTTGCTCTTCTCCCTGGGCCTCCACCTCCTCACCCACCTCACTTTGGAGGCCGCCGTCATTGAGGAAAGGGACAAGGTCGTTGGTGATGGCGACGCACCCAAAGTCGTAGGGACGTCCTACAAGCCTCGGCAACACAAGTATGCGCCTTGTTTCCGTTTGAAATGCAGCTTGCGCGTTTCCGTATTGATTCTCAATTCACTTTCTGTGATCTCACTGAGCGAATGGCACGCTTGACTTGATGTTGAGCTGTTCGTCTTTTTGATTCCGATTGTGTGCGGCCGTAATACCAATGTCAGCGATCTTGCTTCTTTCTCCATTGCAAAGTCCGATCCGCTGGCAACTAGCTGTCATTTGCCTGAAGCTTGAAAGGCAAGCTCATTGAGTTTGACCGGGCACGAACGCAGTCCGAAGTGATTCCGAATCACAATCGAACCTGAACGAGCAGCCCATCGTTGCTCGAGCGCTCCAGGTGATGAAGATGCTGATGAGGTCTAGTGTGCTTGGTGTTGAATGGTGACCGATCAAATCTGATCGTCAGCGAGCATCAGGTAGGTAATGACGAATCAAGACTCTTGCGTGGTTTCTCACCTTCTGCCCGTGCGTCTCCTTACCCGTGCGTCGGCAGTCAGGAAGCAGTTCGAGACACCACCATGGAGACATGAATTACCACAGTCACGAGTCTGCGCCGAGAACCGGACAGCGTCGAGCTGATCGACTGTTGACTCGCCGATCAAAGGGCAGCGGGGGTTGCATGGCTCAAGCGGCGGCCGGACGGTGCAGAAGGTGTACGGAGTAGACAT